GAGGGAGTGAGGAGAGGAGAGGAGAGGAGGGAGGGAGGATTGATCCGCGTCTGTTAAAATCTTGTTCTGGTTTTTCTTGGAGTGAGGTCTGTGCCTGCCGACGCGCCTCTCCTGTGCAGCCCCCAAGAGCTTTTTATGGAAGGAAACCTTGGAATTTTTGAAAGGGAGAAGGATCTGCATAACACTAATGAAGTGGATAAAAAAAACGCACGGCTGGGTTCTTTTTGCCTTCTCTTTTGCGTTTTCTCTTCTGGTGTCTGAATGAAACAGGGAGGCAAATATAAGGGAAAGAGGCACGGTGCAGGTTCTGGACTGGGAGTCGATCTGTCAGTGTGCTTTTGAGTAAACACGTTTCCAGTGCGCCCGCTTTAACTTTTATTTCTTCAAAAACTGGCGAGCTCGACTCCTCTCCTCTTGCACCGCGGAGTTCGTTTTTCTCGGAACGAGGAGACTTTCGTGTTTTTCCCCCTCCAGAGAAACTGCTTAAACTTTCTACGTTTAAAAAAATAAATAAAAAGATCGGATTGCATTTTCCCCCTTCAAACATTTTGGAGGTGATGTCATCGTGCTGTGTTTTGGCTGGTATTGTGTCGAGAGGGCGCAGGGAGGACTGCTGCAGCCAGGCGGTAACCAGCGGCTGAGGCGAGCGGGGAAGTCCGGAAAATCAGGTGCAAAGTGCGGCTGTTATTTCCTCGCTGTGTCGCGGGTGGCTGAGTCCGCCACCCAGTCACAGCTGTTCCCATCCTCTCCAGCCACCCCTCCCTCCCTCGTCTTTCTTTCCCATTTATTATCCCCTCCCATTCTCATTCAGCACTCTCCATATACCCCTCTGAGCTGGACCGCTCCGGGACCTTATCACCCTCTCTGTCGGACACTGTTGGTCGGTGTCACCTGAGCCACAGATCCGTTGAGTCAGCGTGGGGGCGCAGTCATGACCGAGGCTGCCCTGCATTACCCTGCGCCCGCAGAGCCCCCGTCTCCAGCTCGCCGTTTGCTCCATCAGCCAGCCCAGGTAGCCCACCTCCAACAGCTCCTGACCCTGCTCTGCTGGGACTAAACCTGCCTCCTGGTCCTGCCTGTGCCGGAACAAACACTCCACTACTTTCTTTTATCATCTCACCCATTGCAGAAATCATTTTGGAGACCCCAAGCTTACTGTTGCGCTGAAACGTTACGCATTGGATTACGCAGAAGATTACGCACGCACTGCATCTGTCCACGGGGCCGAGCATCACTCTGAGGGTCAGCGAGGTCGATTGGAGTTCGTTATTTGCGACGCGTGAGCGCGCTTTCACCTGTTCCTCTCCTTGTCGGGAACGCGCAGCCTTTAAAACCCTAACCTTCCCCCTTTGCTCCCCCGCCCTTCCGACTCTCCACCGGTCTGGACAGCTGTTAGAGGTTGCCCGGCGGTCACAGTGGCACAGTTACCCCTGCCTCACACCCCACACTGTCCGTACCCACGCCGGGAGAACCGGGGCACGCCGCCGCCGATGCCAACGGGAGTGTCCGCTGACTCTTTGACTCTGCACAACATCCAGCGGATTCAAAACACAGAGGGGAACTCTCCCGACTGTCGGACTGGCTCAGACCAAGCGAGGAGACTGTCTCTGGGCCAAGTTCCATAGTGGAGGGGGGAAGCAATGTGGTCCCTTCTTTCCACGCTGACCGTCTTGTAAGTCACTTTTATCACTTTATCATGTTATAATCGTATTTATCCACTCAGGACTTATCTCTTTCTGCAGTTGTTTAAACTAGTTTCATGACGGGTCTGACTACAGATGAAGATGATGGAGAGGAAGGCTGCAGTGTCTAACGATTACATCACTCCTCATCAGTCCCCACAGAAAACATGCCATGGAAGGCCCTGTTTTGATTGGCTGACAGTTCAGGGTCACTGGGTCAGAGTCAGGGCCCTGTTACTCATAAAACCTGCCATAAACATCTCCATCACCATCTGCACTTACTTCAGGGATTGCCAAGCTGGCTTAGAAAAGGCCATTTTCCCATCGCCAAGAAAATGCTCTTTTTTCCCCTATTGAAAATATTTCAGAAGTTGAGTCAAATAACACCGGCTTTATCTAGTGGGATAGGAAAATGATAAAGTGCCAAGAGCAAATCTAGGGGAGGAGGATGCAGACTCAGGGGGCTTGAGTTTGCCCATTTGAGGTGTGTCTTGTTAAAAGCCAAGGGATTTATTTTTCTTTCTTTGTGTCGGCTGTACTTCTCCCAGATGGCAGTCATCTCCAGATACTTCTCATTCCTCACACAACCTGGACAGGGTGTGTGCCTCTGCTGCTGCTGGTGTCTGCCTGACTTTCTTTCTCTTTGTGTATGTCTCCCTCACACTCTCTCCACTTACCCACCTAACTGCCTACATCTGTCTTCCTGTCTTGCCTATACCCCATTTTTCCACAGATACTTGCTCAGATAAAAAGTATGAATTAATAACTGATGAATGATGGCGCCCCTGGCAGTATCTGAGGAGGAGCACTGTTTAGTCTGCTGGTTTTAGTTTAGGTATTTCAGAGCCAGTCATCTCTCCATTCATTTCCTTCTTGCCCATCAGTTTAACCACAGCCACTTTTCTCTTCATCCGTGCTGTTTTACCAACTTGATCATACAAAGTCTTCAGCCAGTGAGAAAAGGGCCTTTTGCCACAACAACCTGTTACTGCTATTCTCCTAAAGCCACAGCTCCATGTTGAGGCCCTCTGCTTCCCTAACCATCTCTCCACCATAGGCCCTATTACTGCTGATACCACTCACACGCCCACTAGCCTAACCACTATTCTTCACCGAGGCCCACTGCTGAACATCTGAAACTCGTGCACCGTGCCGAAGCCCACTGCTCCAGTGTTGGCCTACCACGCTAACCACTGCTACACACAGCTGAAACCGCCGCTCTGTGCTGAGTCCCACCAGGCCGACCGCTCTTACTCCACGCTGCTGCCCAGTCCTCGGTGCTGAGGCCTGCTAGTCTAACCGCAGCCTCCATATGGTAGATCTGCTGGGACGCAGGTTTATGATGTCAGACCCGTGCTTGTTTTGGCAGCCGGCCAAGGCGCACCGGGCTTTCCCTCTCTCCATACCTCCTTCTGTCTTTACTCTACCCCAACTTTTAGTCGGGCGCTCTCTTATTCTCTCGTTTTCTCATCCCTCCCCCACCCCCGACTGATCCTGTCTCCCTCTTTCCTCTCTCCTTCTATTTCTCTCTGTGGCTGGCATAATATGGAGTGTCTGTGGTTTTTGTGGGAGCAGGAGAATCCAGTGCCGAGGCACTTTTCCTGCAGTGTCCTCGGCGGCAGTGCAGCTGTGGTGTTTTAACAGCTGAGAGTCCTCACAATGCACAGGCGCTCAGGTTTTTTCGTCTGCGCAGGCAAAATGTTAGGGCCAAAACTCTACTGCATTGCCCGGGATATCTGCATCTATTAGAATGACTCAGGGGCCAACACACCAGCTATGGGAAAGAAATGTTGAAAAATAGGGAAAGGAAGCAAGATGGTATATGTGCTTGCGTGTGTGTTAGTCAGGAGGCAGTGACATGTGTTACGATGTGCATGAGTTGAACCCCCCCCCCCCTTCCTCTTTCATTCCCATTATTTATCTTTTTGTCTACTTCTCACGCCAGACCACACTCTGTGGTTGCACTACTGTCTCTCGTTTTGCAACTTTTCTTCGCCGTCCTTCAATATGTAACATTACTCTTTTTTGACCCTCTCTCCTCCAACTCCTACAACTGTGCATCAGCCCATTCTTTCTGATTTTATCTCACCTTTTTTAATATATGTCAGGCTTCTCTTGCTTCATCCCCCCTCTATTTATTCTTACATCACTGTCCTCTGTCCTGTCCTCTCCCTATCCCTTTGTGTACTTTTCAGTCTACCTCTCTCTCCTCCTCGCTATCTCCCTCTCTCAGCACCGCGTATGTCTTTGCTTTGGCCCAGCTGTCAGCTGCCTGCTCCTCCTGTACACACACATACACCCTGCACACATCTGCACATCTGTGTGCATGCCCATGACAGTGTGGAGGAGTCACCCTGCTAACCCCAAACATAAAGGAAGATGGGAGGCAGGGAACGATAGGAGAAAGGTAGAGTGGACAGAGAGACAGGGAGGGAGAGATAAGGTAGAGTAGAGATAGGGAGGACACCAAGTCAGAGAGAGAGAGAGTGGAGCAGAGAGAGAAAAGGCATGCAGAGAGATAGCAAAAGATGAGGTGGGGAAAGATGAAATTCGTAGAATTGCTTTTCAGCCCACACACTTGGTTCTGAACTTCATCAAGTCTTCAACCACTAAATTAGAGCAGTTCAAGGACTGCCAAAGAAGATTTTGCGCAACACAAACACTCCCTTACTAAAGCTGTAAATAACATTTGTTACATCCAAGGTCAAGGTCTAAACTTCAATTAAGTAATGTGATAAAGTGAGAAGAATTTTAATTGTAACTGCAACCAGCTGTTTCAATCAAACATGTCTCAACAGTCCAGATAGTCGGAAGGAAAGTAGATAATAAGAAATAATGCATAAAGGTTATATTTTCATACAGACAATACACATTAATTCTGCATGCATCACCCCGATTACTCCCCACCAGTTGATTCCTCAATAAATCATCTTTCCACACGTTTTGGTAGCTCATGTTCTCACTTATTCATAGCATCTCTAAATGTAACCACAGTCCACCGCTCTCCAAAGCCACATCACAGTGGAGTGTACACCTGTAGTCCAGCCCAGCTGTCTACATACACAGAGCAGCCAAATAAGTCAGCCCATTCCCTTAGATGTCCAAACCAAAACATGTTCTAGTTGTCTCGGCATGTTTGCCATTTTGCCACGGTCCATTCGGGTCATTTGCAGGCCAGATTTTGGTGTGGCGTAAGTCACCAACAGGTCAGAAAGTGGGTTTGTACAGAAAGCTACTAGCGTAACAATAAACACTGCTCTGGGTGTTGTCTGTCTGCCGATGCCTGGACATCTGCCTGTCTGTATGTCAAGTCGCTGTGCCAGCCACACACCCAGCAGTGTGAGTAATCACCCAATAAGGGAAAGAAATGTTGAACAAAAAGAACGGCAGAGAAGAAAGAGATGGAAATGATGGTGTCACGCATGACTCTTCCAACATTCAGTGTTGCTGACATATTTCTAAACTCATCTGTTTCTATTTTTTCTAGATGTATCCAGATGTTGCTGGTGATGTGCAATCCATTACAGGTGAGAGTCTGTGTGTATGACAAAGAGCAATCATGCAGTATAAAAGTCAGGTTATATATTGGTAGTATGTGTGTTTCTTTAAGCCTTTTTATGACTCTCTGTTTCTGTATGTGTGTGTGTCTGTGTGTGTGCCAACCTGGCTGTGTGTCTTTCTTGGTGTGTGTGTGTGTTCCCAGCAGGTACTTGGTGTGGATGGGGTCAACTTCAGCGTGCATGTGGAAAACCAGACGCAGGTGCGAGACACCATGAGTCGGCGACAGCACCGGGTCTACCAGCTCTATAGCCGCACCAGCGGCAAACATGTCCAGGTGATGGGACGCAGGATCAGTGCTCGAGGAGAAGATGGAGACAAATTTGGTAAGACACACACACACACAGTAGACCACAGGCAAACACTTACACACGTACAGATGCTTACTTGCACACACACATGCACATTCACACCAACTAACGGCTGCAAGTACAAAGACTTGAAGGTTGACCAAGTGCATGCATGAACGGATACAGAATGCAACTGTGCAGGCACACTCACAAAAGCACACACACATGCCTCCCCAGGCTTTGGCAGAGGGGCAGTGGAGCTTGTCTTGGGAGTACAAAGACCTCATCGACTGGCTGCTGACTCAATGATTCACAAGAGAGCAAAAGAAAGAAAGAAAGAAAGAGAGAGAGAAGGTGTTAGCGAAAAAAAGTGTGAGTTAGCGGGAGAAGCCTGGCAGGTAGAGTGTCGGACCGAGTGTTAGAAACTCATCTCCTTCATCGATCCCTCCATTGATTTCTCATCCTCCCTGTTGTCTCCTCTGGATTTAAAACAGCAGGCTTCCTCTCCCTCCCTCCCTCCCTCCCTCCATCCTCTAACACTCTCTCTGTCCATCCCCCACTCCTTCTTCCTCTCCACCTTTCTTAGTCTGTAATGATGTCTAACCCATTCTTAAACCACACACAGAATCAATGGGCAGAAGAAAGCCAAGCCATAAAGCTGGAGTTCAGATTTCTGTGTTCTCCAGCAGTGGCTCACATTGCACATCCCATCCATTGACAAACATGTCAGGCTGCTAACTGCTGCCACTTCAAGCCATAGATGGTGCAAAAGCATGTCTGTTTACTGACAAATACCACTCCTAAGCTGAACTATCCACCCGAAACTGACCAACTGTGGCGATGAGGTATATTGTACAGAGGAACCAAGAGCAGAAAGAGATGAAATAAAGCAAAGAAGGGGCGGGTGCAGGAAGGTATAAACATCAAGCGAAAGAGCAGAAGGGAGACGAGAGGAGAGTTGGGGGAAGAGAGACGAAGAGGGCAAGAGGGAGGGAGGTATTGATTTCTCTTGACCCCTTTGTTGACTAAGGTCATGTAGGAACCATTTTAGGGATTTATTTTTAAACAGGCACAAGCACTCTCTGAAGATGTGTAGACGGTAAAGCGGTATTGCCTGGAAGGATGAACATGCATACACCTGCACACATACATACACCGAGGTACACGCGCACATGCAAACACCTTAAAACAACAGTATCGCAGACACTCAGTCTAAGTGTTCTCCCGCTCCTCTCAGCCCACCATGCTCCGTCTACTCTTGGCTGTTATCTTTTTTACGAGGCCCATTTGTGGTCAGCAGCCTCACATCCATGTGTGTGACCATGCTTATCTGACAACCATCTGTCCGGCCAGAGACATTTACATCTGTCTGTGATTTATCAGCACATTTAATAGCAACTATGAATCCTAAAACTGTGATTCAATGTGAATGCCTTATCTGGTTTAAAGCCAGATCTGATTTAATGGTGGCTGGCAATTAGTGTCACACTACTTGGCAGTGGGTTTGTTGATGTAAGCTTGAATGTTGTTCTTTGCTATGGCAAGTGATCTCACACAACATGACACTAAGTGAGGTCTAACTTTGGGTTACTTTTATCTTTATACCTCTAATATTTTTGTGATACAACTTAATAAAACTTTGAAATCCTGTAAACACAACATACTGTATTTCTCTGCATTGCCTGTGGCTCTAATGTCTGTCTGTCCCTCTGTCTGTCCCTTCACAAGCCCAGCTCGTAGTGGAGGCCGACACCTTTGGTAGCCAGGTGAGAATCCGGGGCAAAGAAACCAATTTCTACCTGTGCATGAACCGCCGCGGCAAGCTGGTAGGAAAGGTGAGACTTCTTTCTTTTAGAGACATGTTTATTAAGAATATAGTTGTGTCTTACAGTTTCCTGACCAGCCTCTCTTTGTTTCTCCCAATGTGTGTGCGCGTGTGTGTGTGTGTGTGTGTGTGTGTACCTGTGGTTTCTCTGCTCCCTCAGAAGGCCAGTAATCGAAGCGCAGACTGCGTCTTTGTGGAAAAGGTTCTGGAAAACCACTACACAGCTCTGATGTCAGCGCGTTACTCAGACTGGTATGTGGGCTTCACTAAAAGAGGCCGTCCTCGCCGGGGCCCCCACACGCTTCCCAACCAGCAGGACGTACACTTCATGAAGCGCTTCCCACCTGGGGAGCAGCCCGACCTCACCACACCCTTCCGTTTCACCACAGTCAGCAAGCGGGGCAAAAAGGTGCGCGCTACTGGTCCCCGCTAGTAGTGGCTAACGCTATCACCCACTGTCTTGTCATCCAAAGCCTTGACCTGAGCCTGCCAATGGCTAACCCAGTCATCTCTTCTGTCACACACGGCTGAACACCTACCTTTGCTGGGACAAACATTGACCACAAACTTGATGAATCATTCATGTGGTTTAGCTTTACACCTACTAATTTGCCACTACAGTCCCCAAGTTAGTGATCATTCCTCAGTTTTAGTTCCCTTACTGGACCAACTGGACCATCTCTGGAAGCTCTGTTGACTTAGTCTGCTTCCCTTCATAGGCCAGAAATACTGACAGGAAACCTGAAGGCCAGCCAGAGTCCCAGACTCTACGAATGCCTTTATTCCGCAACCACAAAAACCACAAGGCCTTCATGTCTCCTGTTCTGGACCAGCTGGACAATGTCAAGTATGGGATTACAACTGGACCATACAGAGAGAACAAGGGTGGGAAAGACTGACTGAACAAGAAAGTGGGTGCTTAGCCTACGGATAAAGGGAACAGGAAGGAGAGGACAGGAAAACGGCAAAGTGGACAAAGGGACTGAGTGATCTTCACAGATCAAATGGACCAATAACGGATTGTTGACATGTGACGCACTTATTTGTCTCACTGCTAAATTGGTGGGAACATATGAGACTGTTGGATGGATGGAAGCATGGATGACAAAAGGATGAATGAGGGAATGACCGATGAGCGACTTACTGAATAAATGCTTGTAAGCAGAGGAAGACGAGGACATATATGTAGGAGTGTGTGTGCGTATGTGTGTGTCTGAGTGAGTGCACCAACAACCATGAGTGAAGCTGGATCACAAGGGACTCTGGAAAGGGACCATCCAGTCCCTGCATGAACCCGTGACAACTCACCGCAGGGACTGAAGCTTTAGGAACTAGAATGTATAAAAACCAAGCTGCACCAAAAACAGCCAATCACCATAAACCAAACCAACGACCGACCAAAGACAACTGGAGACCTTTTTTATGACTCCACCCCACGCCCTGCCCCCCGAGGACACTACACCCTCAGCTTATAGGTGCAGAGGGTGACAAGCGCAGGGGCGAGCACGGCGGGGAGGGTGCCTTGTCGATTAGCATTGCTATAGAAACGACCCAGGGGATGATGCTCCTGTGCGATACCGTGGATACAGAATGCTGCTACCAGGACATTCAGTGGAACCAACCAAAGTCTCATGCATACACACAGGAGAAAAAATATTAAAGGGAACAATTTATTGAAAGTTATATATATTATATATATAAAAGAAGACAGAAACCCTAAATAAGCAATCTTACTATGATGGTTACTATAATTATTACGATAAAATTATTTCATTTATTTATTTCAGCTCTGTGTGCAGCAGTCTTTCTCGACTCAGTAAACCTTACAGAAACATTTCCTGTCTCCCGTTCTCTTTAAACTGATTCTTCACATGCTTTTTTTTGGTCTGTCAAGGGATATATTGTAGAAAGAGAGGAGAAAGTTCACAGTGGCTTCAGAGGATGGCTTCAGTGCTCAATTGGAGATTTGACAAAAAATTAATTGGCAACAATTTTGACCATTGTTTGTCATCTATCAAGCAAAAAGCCCGAAATTAGCTTGTTCCAGCTACTGCAATGTGAGTGTTTGGTGATTTTCTGTTTTATATCATTCTAAATTGAAAATCTTTGGGTTTCTGACTGAAAACAAGCAATCTGAAGACATTTCCTTGGGCTCTGAGAAATTGTTATACAGATAGGTTTGGGTGATATGATGATATATAGCCTGATACAATATACATTTGTCAACTGTCAGAGATTGGGAACTATTAATACCAAGATATCCATCCTTTTAATATTTCTGTTCTGTTATTCTGTTAATATTGCAATCAGTTAGTTTGCAAACTAATTTATGGAAATATTGAGTTTTTGCATCAAAGTATCTTAACTTTTTAGGTATTTAATTCACTGGATTAACCAAAAACAAACATTGCCTAGTTATCCTTAAACAACTTATTAAACAACTTCACATGCATTTACAGTAATTTCTATATATATCAAGATATATATATATCAATATTTTGATGAAAAATTACATAGCTTGATAGATCTGATCCATATTTCCAACTCTTATTTATTTTACAAAATGAAAAATTGAAAGAATAATAGACTGACTAATCACTAATGAAAGTTACTTAGTTACAGCCTTAGTTGGCTTCAACATTGTTTGTGCACATAATAGATTTGAAAATGTTCTGTGAGAAGTATCAAGGGCCAATAGAAGATTGTCATGCAAAGGCAAGAACTTAACTATCTTTCTCCAACCAGGAGTCACTGCAAAACTATAAATTCTGCATTTCTCACAAAAATTCATCGTACAAAGTAGAAAAAGTTATTCAACCCGTGCAACACTAGAAAATTAAACCCACAGGTTTCTACGTTTGCAACGTGCAAGAAGAACAGATTGTGTTGTTGTCACGGTTCCTGCCAGTGTGGGTTGACGTAGTCACCGAAGCTCAAATCTCAGACATTAAACTGCTTATAAAAATACAAATCTAAACTGGACCAGCCTCACTCAGGAACCCTTTGAAAACTGCTGAGCTTCAACTGTTGGGCAAAAATCAACAGTCACCTCCACATTATAAAGTTTTGCTATGAACACACAGCATGAAGGATCAGACAGAACAGTGGAAGGGAAACATGCAGTAGTGAGATAGAGTTTCATAGCTGCTTCTCCTCTCATCTATCCTACCCTTATCCCCCCATCCCTCCCCTTCCTTCCCTAGCCTAGCGGGAGGTCACTGAAGAGATGTCGCTGCCAAATGACCCAATCATGCCGGCAGACACAAACAGCTGACTCAGGGGGAAAAAAAGGTTGTACCAGAGGATTCCTATTGCAAGGCAGCAGGAATCTGTGCTGGAGGGGGGTGGTATAAGGAGGAGACAGTGGGGTGGAAGGGAGAAAGGGGTGTGGGGGTGGGATAAAGAAGAGCGAGTAGGGGGTGGTGGGGTGAGTTGTTCATTTCTGGAACGTTGCTCCAGTTCCACTCGGGAATGATGGAAATATTCCGCGTAGCCAAACCCAGAGTGGAAGGTGTATGGTAATCATGTCGGGGAAGGAATGCCAAATATGTGCGTGAGAACGGAGCTGTGACCTGAGAGCTGCAGGAATTATGGGCCAAAATCCCACAGACCCAGAGGAAGCACACACACCCATATCCAACACATACACACATCATATACTAATGGTGCTCCACCAAGCACAAATCCATCCCACATAACTTATTCCCAGAATTTGAAACATTCTACTACACTAAACTAAACCCAGAAATTTAGAAAACCAACCCCGTCCGCAGGCCAACTCCCCTCCTTCTTCTAGTCGAGAGAATACACACTGTACAATAACCAGACAGACGTATTATAGAACTCGACTACACTAGCCAGATCTTTGCTATAAAGGCACCACTTTTAGCATCTCAAACATAAATTCCTCCTTCACAGTTGTCAGTGTTTACAAGACTGAGTATGTGATCTACTGTAACAGGTTATTTAGACTCCAAACTTGGCTACCAAACAGTCAGAGGCCAAGTCTCATAAACACATTACACTGTGGGATATAGCTGAGTTCATACTCCCACCTGGTGGCCGTCTGGAATACTCTGATTATGCCTTAACACAACACAGTTTGAGCAACATTTGTTAAAAATGTTTCATGTCACAATTATAAAAATATGTTTTTGCACACTGGGAAGTTTTACTGACAGGTGCATGCATTTAAAAGGGCTGACAAAGAATATAAAATGGAATTACAAATGAACCAACGTTGAATTATTATTAGTGGATGCAAACTGGCCTTAAGTTACTTTACTTTTTAAATTTTTTGACTCAAGAAAACAGGGGAATTCTAAATAAATAATAAACTTATTTAAACTGTCTGAATTAATTTTACCTGATAAAGCTATGGAGGACAGAAACCTTGTTAATAAGTGCATACAACTCATTCAGTCAAATGTGTAAAAAGTAAAATAAACGTAACTAAGGCCAGTGTGTATCAAAAAAAAATTTAATCTTTTGAAGACATATAGAACATGATGGGACAAAAAGATGATTTCAAACAACCTACCGTACGTGCTGCTATCCATATCGATACCACAGTGGATACAAGACGCTCAGATCTCACCCACAGAGGATCACTTGCACTCTGCACCTGCAGCTACAGCATTGTATCGAGTTCTAAGAATCTTCTGAGTTCTTAACCTTTATGACATCACACATTCCATCAGTTCCTCACAATTGTTCTCCAACAGTCCAATTAGAGACCAGCAAGTGTGTTCACATGCACATTAGTATCTTGGTTAAGTGTTGCTCTTGTAAACATAATATCCTGGTTAAATTACAACTGAAAATATGGTTGAGATCAGAAATCCAGACACTGTAGACAGATGATCATAAACCTGGATACTGTTAGAATCACATATACATCAATATGTATAAACCAGGTTTTTCATGCTCCATGTAAAAAAGGTCAAACTAGGAAAATAATCGAAACCGGGAATGAGTGCGCATGAAAACAGTGGAGCCTAAACTTTCTTAATCTTGGAAACAGTAGCTTGACTTAAATTCTTTACTCAAAGCCCAGTTAACTAGTTTTTTTCCACAAAGCTTTCAATCACACCTTCCTCAGTAGATGGAGTTTGCTCAGTTGAGTTGAGCTGACTGAGAAAACTCCACTCAGCAAGACCACAAGATTCTGTGGTCTCCAGAAAAATCAAGTCCCTGGATTTCTTTGTCAAACTAATTGTTTTCTTGTTGTGAACAATCAGGAATTCCACATAAAATTCCAAATGTCTGAATTCTTTGTTATCTACGGGACAGACAGCAGCAGATTCCCAGCTGTTTATCTGGAGTACAAAAGGTACAGATTGAAAGCACTGAGTGTTGCATCTACATGTCAAAGACAAGATCGCACAAATCCAACCACACATACACACAGACAAGAACAGACAGACAATTAGACACTCATTCATGTTACAGTTGGCTCAACACTCCACCACTGTCAAGTACTTTATTCACAATAAGGTCATTTTCTTCTTTAAAAAATCATTTTTAATATACAACACAATTTTTGACAAGACAACTCCGTTTACAGCTAAATTTGAGCTCGAGTTCCAGCTTCTCTCATAACCAAAGCAAGCACGTAGATGATTGGGGGGAGAAAGATGGAGTGAAAGGGACAGATGAACAAGGGTCGAAGTTAGAAGAAAGAAATGAGGAAAAAGACAGTAAGAGAGAGGGGAAGAGAAAGAGGACTACGCTTAGTATGATTTTTGTACTAAGAACCAAAATACTCAAATAAAATGAGAAAATAACAGTAATAAAAAACAGTAAGAAAGTAAGAGTTAAAGAGAAAAAAAAAAGCAGAGGTGTACCGGGATGCTGTATCCGAGGGCAACCTCACATGCATGTCTGTCTGTCTGACGTTTCTGCTCTGTTCTGCCATTTCACAAGTCCACATACACAAACACACACTCACGCAAACTTGAATGTGTGCGCCCCCATATTCCAAGCGAGTGTGCATCTCTGGGGGTTTAGAGGGGTGGGGGGCGAAGGGGGGTTGGAGAGAGAGACAGGGAGGAGTGAGAGGGAGTGAGAGGGAGCGGGAAAGTCAGCCCCGACACAGTTCTCCCTCGTTCACTCCCTCCATCTCCAATCCTTCCCTCCTTTCCTAGAGCTGAGTAAAGAGTCTCTGTCTCCCGCATCACAGCTCCGGTCATCCTCTGTCCAACTGTGCCACTGTGTGTGTGTGTGTGTGAGTGTGAATGTGTGTATGTGAGTGTATGTGTGTAATATATATAAATATATATCTATAAGCGATTCCATGTCTGTGGAAACCTGTTTTGGCAGGGGTCGAAAACTGAGGAGCAGAAGCTGCTTGTATCAAGGGGACAAAAAGGAGCTTGTGACTTATATAATGTCTAAGTTAATACTGTCATTAGTGTACTTTACAAAACATAAATTAGTAGTAGAAGGTAAAACTTCTTGGGAGAGTTGGTTCTGTAGTAGGGAATCCTCATCAGTGTTGACCTGTGTGTGTGCATGTCTGAGTGCATGTCACAGTACTGGCAGGCAATGGGCACAAGCTCGAGAGTCTGTCAGAACGGGCAGGGAGGTGGAGGTGGCGGGAGGGCGACGTGGGAGGCGGACAGAGAGATGACGAGGAGGAAGGAGAAGAGATGGGCTCCTTTCCGTGATGGACGCACCCATCAGCCAATCAGCCCTGGGCTCCTCCAAGAAAAGGGTGCGGTGAATGGCGCCACCTTGGGGGGTAAAAAAAAAAAAAAAAGTCTGCAATCACACACGGGGAAACAGAAAGGTCTTATTAGCTATATGTGAGAACGTGTGTGTGTGTGTGTGTGTGT